AGAAATTGTAAAGGAAAACTTTATTCGATGTAAATATATAAATATCAGATTCATGATAAATAAATCATGCCTAAAATGAAAGACATAGTGAAAGAAAGAAAGAAAGAAAGAAAAAGTGAAAGGAAGAAAGAAAAAGAAAGAAAGAAAAAAGAAAGATCGAAAGAAAGAGTGAAATAAAGAAAGAAAAAAGAAAGAAAGAAAAAAGAAAGAAAGAGTGAAAGAAAGAGTGAAATAAAGAAAGAGAGAAAGAAAGAATAAAAGAGCGAAAGAAAGAATGAATGAATGAAAGTAAGAAAGAAAGAATGAAAGAAAGAGCGAAAGAAAGAGCGAAAGAAAGAGTGAAAGAAAGAAAGAGTGAAAGAGAGAAATAAAGAAACGAAGAGCGAATGAAAGAAAGAAAGAAAGAAAGAAAGAAAGAAAGAAGAAAGTGCGAAAGAAAGAATAAAAGAGCGAAAGATAGGGCGAAAGAAAAAACGAAGGAAGAATAAACGAAAGAGAGAAAGTAAGAAAGAAGGATGGAAGGAAAGAAAGAATGAATGAAAGAAAGAAAGAAAGAAAGAAAGAAAGAAAAAATAAAGAAGAACGAGAAGAATAAGAAGAATATTATATTTTTATATATCGTGCCCAAAATGAAAGAGATAGCGAAAGAGCGAAAGAAATAAAGAATGAAAGAACGAAAGAAATAAAGAATGAATGAAAGCGAGAAAGAGTGATAGAAAGAAAGAGTGATAGAAAGAAAGAAAGAAATATTTCCAACAACAATCGCAAAACAAACCAGTGGATTTGCGCGTCTCATATGATTCTAACGTATGTCTGGAGGCAACGTATAAGAGCCTCTCTTGGATAGATGCCTATCCGGAACTCAACACGTAAAATACGTTTGTGAATGACGTGTATCGTCAGTCAATGTGATGGCCACAGGATACGACTGTTCTTTTTTTCTGTGGACGATTTAGAAGAGATTTCACCTCGACGCCTGCCAACGAAAAGTAGGCCGAGAAAAAAGACAAGAAACAGATAATTGCAGACGACGCAGTAAGATGTAGTAGTAACTAAAGTTTTAACAGGTTTTTCGCACGAACTTGCAATACAATTACTTTAATGCCGTTTTTGCACGAATGGGCACATCAGCGATTTCTGTTATCACAAAAACAGGGGTTGTGAAAGCGAGATCAGTAAATACTAACAAGAAAACGATGATGAAATGTTTTGAAAGAGAAAAAATGCAATTCAAAAATTTAGAACACATTAAATATAAAATGGATATAATATATAAAAATAGTTGGTAAGAAATGAAGGGTTAACATTTTTAAATAGATGTTGTGTTAATGAAAAGCAAGAGGACTGTAGTTAGAAAAATAATAATAGCAATAATAATATGGTTTGTAAAAATCTATGTTGATCGAAGACGAAGTTGGATTTACGACTTATACTATGACGTTGGACGTATCAAAGATGGCCGAGCGAACTTGAACACAATGACAATGAAACTAATGACCAAAAAACAGGGGCTTATATCATAAGTGCAATGTAGATATATTTGTCCATCCTGAAAAGTTACGTAAGAGGTTTAATAAGGGTAGAACTGCGCATAGTAATCATCATCATCCTGCGGGCTCAGCCGAGATTGAACTCACTACACCTCTCCAGTATTCCATATCCGTCATAGCTCCTAAAAGATCTTCCTTAGGGATCAATGTGTCTCGTTTTATCCTATCTGGAAAGGTTAACTTCCGTGATCGATTGTCAGATGATGGGTGCCTCCAGAGTACAAATGATGACACAAGTTCATCAGTGGCACGTGCACAATGCCCGGCAACTGGACACGTCTTGCAAACTAAGGTTGATATCCTCGGCAAGTCTCCATATATCATTTCTAGAGTTGGGCGGTTTCGCCATGAGAGATTAAGCACTCTTCTTAAAAGACGTATAACATCCATCTAAACGACGCTGTTGTTTTGCTGAGAGAGTCCAAGTTTCAGAGCCATAGAGTAAGATTGGCTCAATAAGGACGCGAAAAGTTGATTTGAATTGACGAGCAAGATTGGATTTCCAGATGTTATCCATTTTGCTACAAGCAGTCCATTCCATGCCTTTTCTAATGTTGAAGTCTTTTCAGAGTTCTTTTGATGTGTGATCCTAGATACTTGTAGTCTTCGACACATTTGAGGATGTTGTCTGAGAGTGTTTTGATCTCATGATTGTTGCGAATGTTAATTACATATACACTCAGTTTTAGTTTCATTTAGGTGTAGACTTGCACAGTTAGATGCTGATTCAAGAGAAGAAAGGAGTGCTTAAAACTAATGAGGTTGTCAGACAACAGTGCAATGTCATCAGCAAAATCAGCATCGGTGATGTAGAGTGCAGGATGGCATGAGCTTCTTCTCGGCTGACACATCAGTCCATTTTCTTTGATTGTGTCCACTGATATACGCATGATGTCTATTACAATGATGAAAAGGAAAGGTGCTAGTGTGTCACCTTGGAGAATGCCAGCCAGAATATCGAAAGGTTCTTTTTCACCATCTGGGGTCAGGACAGTGGCCTCTGTGTTGGTATACAATACTTTGATTGCTTCAATGATTTCTACTGGTATGCCATAGAGTTCAAGAATTTTAAATATAGTCTCGCGGTTGACTGAGTCGAAAGCTTTGCTGAAGTCTACAAGAATAAGAGCTGCAGTTTTATTGCAGAATGTGATTTCCTCAATTATTCTACGCATAGTAATAATGGCACAGGTAAAATAGCACGTGTAAAAATGGCACATGAGGAAAAACCTACATGAAATAAAATGAAATGTGCACGTTATCTATTCAGTAAATTCTGAAAACAATATATAAATACCGAACCATTAAGTCTCTGATAAGACTACAGTTGACTCCTGGTTCAGTTGTCATTGTTTTGTTGTTTTTTTTTGTCAGTGGTTCAATTGCGGGAATCCCGGTTCAGTTATTGAACAGAGCTCATAACTAGAAATGATCGCGTTGAATCCTGAATTAGAAATAGGTTCAGTTATCCTGGAGCTGCAAACCCACCATAGATATTAGTGGCTCTCTAACAATCCCATCATGGAAGTTATAGCAAGTAATAAAGGAAAAGAGAAGATTTGATTCCAAGGGTAAATGTGTACAAAACAGATTGTAAGATCAACTACTATCAGATATGAGATAGGTTAAGAGAACATATTTTTGTAAACGTACCCTGATAACAAGCCTTGATATGACTAACTCTGTACCAGCTAAAAACCACGAACACGCTCCTGATAATGCACGAAATGCATCAACAACATGAAGAGAAAACTTTTTTTTTGTTTTTGAGCAATTTTCCCCACTTTTCTACACGGGCCATTTTTACCTGTGTCATTTATAAGCATATAAAAAAAATCCAATATTACCTCATCTAGGCATAGTCTATTTAAAACCGGTACAACCTCATGCCAGTCTTTTTCAGTCAGTGTAGTGTTGAATAAGTGTACTATATATTTATTTTAAGACAATTTATGTATATACATTCTTTTTATAGATACAGTTATTTAAGTAAATGCTCTGTTTATAAATAACACTATTAAACAACATTTATGCGCCTGAATGCCTGAGAAATATTCATAGAAAATATTCGTCTTCCGACAGGATTCGAACCTGTATACTATACGGAAACGTCATATCGGTGGACGTGCGTTTTAACCGATTCGACCACAGAGGATCTTTTGATTAGCTAGATCGAATTTACTGTAGTTAAACTTCAATCATCAGAATGTTTAATACTGTTTATTTAAACAGAGCATTTACTTAAACATTTGTATCTATAAAAAGAATGTATAAACATAAAATGTTTTAAAATAATTGTTGGACTTTTGTCCATTTCATAATATATATATATATATATATATATATATATATATATATATATATATATATATATATATATATATATATATATATATGGCCTGGTACCCTTCTGTTCATCTCGAGGCCCTCAACAAAATCCAGAAACGGATATGCAAAAAATGATATGTCCTGACCTAGAATCGCGTCTACAGTCACTTTCTCTCCGACGTTATGTGGCTTTACTCTGTATTTTCTACGAATATTTTCATGGCAAGTGCTCTGACGAGCTACTATTACTGGTACCCCAACTGCATGAATTTAAGCGTGCTACTCGGTTGGCATTTCGGTCCCACCCTTTCCCTTTCGAAACAATTATATGTAACCGCTTCTTCTACTCCAAAAGCTTCTTCTCTCGCACTTCCCGCCAGTGGAAATCCCTTCCTCTTACTAGCTTCCCAGATTGTTGTAATCTTCGGATATTCTAAATTAATGACAATCGACATCTTCTGATGCCTTGATCCCGATCATCGTCCTTACCTACATCCTTTCCTCAAACACCCCTCTTTCGCCCTCACTCACTGTAACCACTTGCGTGCTAGTGCACTCCCACCTTCTTTGGGGTAAAATGCTTTAAAAAAAAGGATGTGTGTGTATTTTATGTGTATGCCTGTGTATATAGGTATATGTGTATTAGTTTTAACTTGATTTTCATATAAACAAAGAGTTTACAATAAAATGTGTAGCTCGAATTTTAAAAAAAATCAATTTTAATAATTTTCACTTCATTCTAGAATATTCATACATAAATTAAGTAATAGGAATTTCCCCGAGGTGGATGGAGTAAGTACATCTCAAATGGATATTTCCCTAAAAAGAATAATTGTCCTGGGTCGGCTATAGGAACATATATATCTACGATCTACGTACGTGCGTGTGTACCTTTTCAGATGTTTTTTCTTTATATGTCCGCTTCCAAGTATATGTGTATATAAATATATATATTTACCGGTGGCTACATGATATTACAAAAAGAAAAAGAAAATTCCCATGACACTGAAAGTTATTCAAGCAAAAAGTATGCACTCTCTTGTGACCTTGTGCCAAACGATGCCAACATTCGTTAATATCCCCTAACATAAATCATATACGTACATATTTGTAGCAATGTAAATGGTCGCTAGGCATTATGCTATTGTTAACAATCACATTCCGCAGGAACGTATAGTGATTTTCTTTTCCGACAAGTGCTTCATTACTGTGGCCAGGTGCCAAGATTAAAGGAAGAATTACATATATTTTATATTATTTGTTGTCACTTCATTATGTCACGTCCGATTTGTCTCCTTTTTTCCATATCGATTTTCCTTACTTTTCAAACTTTACTCCAAATACATTTTGGCATCCTGGGTAAGATATAAACTACGTCCGCGCCATGGGTAAGACGATAAACAACATCCGCGTCCTGGGTAAGACTATAAACTACATCCAACAATCAGGTTTCGAGGAGCGTGGCACCACTTCTTCATTGCTGGTGTTCCCAGGTCCATACTGATCCGGGATGGTAGCACCTGTCAGGATCCCAGCTATGGCCCCCAAACAGGGGCCAAAACTCTATGGAAGTGTTAAAAATAGGTTTTAATACCAGCAATACATTTTTGTAAAAGGTAGCAGAAATAAATTAAAAAAAAAAGGATATTACCAGCAATAAAATAAACTTGTCGGTATTAAATAAACCATAGACGTTAATATGCTTTAAAACAAACCAAACCAAACCAAACCAAACACATTTTGTTACTCATATTTTAATTTTAATAGCTTATGATGTTTTTAAAAACATATTTAAACAGTATAATAATAATTATGTTTCCATTTATTCTGTCATTATTACTTTAGTGAATTTAGATTACACTGTTGAAATACGAAGGCACTGAATTTGAGAATTATTACTAAACCCCAAACTGAGTTTGGTAGCGAGATTCAAAATTCAAATTCTTTCCTTGAACATCGACTACAGGTTCATACAAAAAAGAAACAATGGCTTATGCATATTCATGAAACGATTTCAGTAGCGCCATGGTCACATTCTAGTAAATACAATTTATTGCCCTATTGTTTTAAATGGGGTGGGGAAGTGTCTGTTTTTAAAGTTAGGGTTCAATATCTTTGGAGAGTCCAAAACAGCACTTTCAACATATGTAACTATATCAGTCAATAGGAAGACTAATATCATGTTGATATTTCCTTGGGTTTTTTAAGGCATATGGCTACATGCTGGAAATTCCGCTTCCTTCATGAATCTTAGCCGGTTTCGAAATTTTTTTTCGAATTTATCTAATTCGAATATATATTCGTGGCTTCGAACGCGAAATACTAGAGCTGACGAAAAATATAGAACACATATTTTTTTTTCTTTTAAGTTTAAATTAATCAGAAACAGAATAAAGAGCAGTGAAATGAAAGATATTGAAATGTGCTGTCAAGTGAAGCAGCGGAGGACTTAAAGTTTAGTTCGAATTATTAGACTTTCGCTTAGATCGAACACGGAAAAATAGTACCGCTGGGCAAATTGTAAAAAAAGGTCACAGTCAAAAATAATCTCAGATATTTACTCATTAGTTTTTCATCTACGTATTTTGCTGTCCTTGTTTGTTTGTTTGTTTGTTTCTTTCTTTCTTTCTTTCTTTCTTTCTGTCTTCTTTCTTTCTATAAAATCATTATCATCTCCTTTCTTTCTTCTTTTCTTTTCATTACTTCATTACCGTTCTTTCTTCCACTCTTTCTATTAAATTACCATTTTCTTTCTTTTTTCTTTCTTTCTTTCTTTCTTTCTTTCTTTCTGTCTTTCTTTCTTTCTTTCTATAAAATCATTACCATCTCCTTTCTTTCTTGTTATCTTTTCATTAATTCATTACCGTTCTTTCTTTCACTCTTTCTATTAAATCACTACCATTTTCTTTCTTTCATTTTCTTTTTGATTTCTTTCTTTTTTATTTCCGTTAAATCATTACAATTTTCCTTTTTTCATTCATTCTTTCCATTAAACCATTACCATTTTTATTCTTTCTTTATCTTTCTTTCTTTGCGTCTTTCATTCCTCCCTTCATTCTTTCCTTCTTTTCTTCCTTTGCCTTAGTTACTTACCATTTTTCTTTTTTTCTATCTTCCTTTCTTTTTTTTCTTCTTTCCTTCCAGAAAATCATTACCATTTCTCTTCTCTCTTTCTTGTTTTCTTTTCATGAATTCATTACCGTTTTTTCTTTCACTATTTCTATTAAATCATTACCATTTTCTTTCTTTCTTTTTTTTTTTTTCTTTCATTCTTTCTTTCTTTCTTTCTTTCTTTCTTTCTTTCTTTCTTTCTTTCTTCCATTCTCCCGTTAAATCATTACAATTTGCCTTTCATTCATTTTTTCCATTAAACAATTACAATTTTCCTTCTTTCTTTTTCTGTTTTTCTTTGCGTCTTTCCTTCCTTCCTCCCTTCATTCTTTCCTTCCTTTCTTTATTTCCGTTAATTAATTACAATTCTTTTTTCTATTTTCCTTTCTTTCCTTCTTTCTTTTCACAAAATCATTATTATTTCTCTTCTTTCTTTCTTTTCCCTTAATTCAATGCCGATTTGATTTGTCTTTTTTCCTGTTATTTCTTTCCTTTATTTCACTGCATTTAACTTTCTTTCTTTCTTTCTTTCTTTCTTTCTTTCTTTCTTTCTTTTGTTTTATCTTCCAGCAAAATTTATTTCCCATTGCATTTCTCAACTAATTTTATTCTTTACTTTCTTTTAAAATACCAACTGTTATTCTAATCCTCCCTGATTCCCTTATAGTTCTTTCTCGGATTTTCGTTTGATTTTGAAATCTCCTCTTACCGGTTTTATTTTTGCCTTTTCACCCAAACCCATAAATGCAAAGTACCATTAATTATCATCTAATAAATGCGAGCGACAAGTCGTAGATGACGACGAAATGTTTTTAAAAAAGGTATTTGACTCCTTCACTGACAACTGAGTAGTCTTTCTATCTAATTTCATGGGTTCTTTTATTTCTTTATTGTCTGCTAAGGCGATGAAACCGCAGATAAAGACACAAAGCGGTTTTGACAGTTACAAAATGGAGTGAAAGACATGAACCACTTAACGAAAAGACACGGTTAGGCCGTTAGCGTTTGAGAGATCCGATAGGCTTGATCATTTCCCAGAAGGCCTATAATTGTGTGCCAGAGACATGAAGTAAAATGGCCAAGATGATTCTCAATTGAGATAGCGGAAAAAATATCGAATAAAATACGTAGATATTTTTGTCACGCTCATACACTTATCAGAAATGTATACTTAGATGCCTGCCTGCCTACCTACCTTACTTTTTTCCCTTTCTTCCTTCATTCCTTCCTTCCATCCTTCATTCCTATCTATCTATCTATCTATCTATCTATCTATCTATCTATCTATCTAACACACTGTTCATAAAAATCCATCTATCCCAACGTATTCATTATGTATGTATGTATGTATGTATGTATGTATGTATCTATCTATCTATCTATCTATCTATCTATCTATCTATCTCAAACTGTTGATGACATATCCATGTATCTGATCGTGTTCATTATCTATCTATCTATCCATCTATCACATCGTTCTTTATATATCCATCTATCTCAACGTATTCATTATGTATGTATGTATGTATTTATGTGTGTATGTATGTATGCATGAATCTATCTATCTATCTATCTATCTATCTATCTATCTATCTATCTATCTGAAACTGTTGAATGACATATCCATCTATCTGACCGTGTTCATTATCTATCTATCTATCTATCTATCTATCTATATATCTCAAACTATTCATCTATCCATATCTCAAACTGTTGATACATATCCATCTATCATTCATTCATTGTGTTCATTATCTATCTATCTATCTATCTATCTATCTATCTATCTATCTATCTCAAACTGTTGATGACATATCCATCTATCTGACCGTGTTCATTATCTATCTATCTATCTATCTATCTATCTATCTATCTATCTATCTATCTATCTATCTCAAACTGTTGATGACATATCCATCTATCTGACCGTGTTCATTATCTATCTATCTATCTATCTATCTATTTATCTCAAACTGTTGATGACATATCCATCTATCTGACCGTGTTCATTATCTATCTATCTATCTATCTATCTATCTATCTATCTATCTATCTATCACACCGTTCTATTATATAGCCATCTATCTCAGCCGTATACATTATGTTTGCATGTTTGCATCTATCTATCTATCTATCTATCTATCTATCTATCTATATATATATATATATATATATATATATATATATATATATATATAAAGTCTTTTCATTATCTAAAGTAGAAGAAGGTGTTAGCTGAGAGTCAAATAGAGAAATTGGGGACTCGTGAATGCTGCTATCTAAGTATATAATAGGAAAGCGTTGCCTTACATATGATCGCAATAATGCAGCAGTAACCAGTGCGCAAAGAATCCACAGGGTACACGTAGCATATCGGTTCTTGGTACAACAAGTTCTACTGACTTGTCGAGTTCCAATTCCAGCCGAGTCCGTTAGGCAAACCACTTTGGTAATGCATGAATCCAACACTTCACCCTATCCAAGAGTGAAGAGTTAGATTCTAGCTTAGGTTGGGAACTAGCTTTAAGAAAAAATTATTCTGAATCCCAAAGAATTTGGGTCTGGTAATAGAGAAAAATAAAATTGAAGCAACAGTTGCATCTCATTCAACAGCAGTAATTCTATTATTTGACATATCGCAAATAGTTAAATATATGGTAACAGAGATTGGTCGAAACTTTCACATCATTAAGACCCATCGTATGATGTGTCACCGTCTAAAAAGCCAGGACAAAAGATGCAGCGTTGGATAAAGATGTTCAAAACAAGAAGCCAGAAGAGACGAGCGGGATATTTTTTTTTTCTTTTGGCTGAGCAATTTTTGTTCTTGGCCCGAGTGTACGCGATCTGGTGCCCCACATTAAACCCGACCTTATATCAAAACTCCTCAGTTGGGAGGTGGTTCTAAATAAAATTACTCCGAATTCCAGATGATTACTATGAAAGTGTAGTATCTGTTCCAGCTGCCGCCATCAGGTCCACGGTTTCAGGCATCACCAGTGGTTCTAGCCAGTCATTATCATCTACAGCTTCAGCTCGCCATCGACCGCGGTTCCAACTAACTCCAGCTCCAGCCATCTTAACTAGCAGAAATTATATGCAATGAAATGTCCTTTTCTGGACAACCGTCTCCAGCGACTACAAAACTGTCTTCTTCAGGACAACGCTCTACTCACCATGTGCCCCAGGCAAAAATATCACTGTGCCTGTATACAGAAACACACAGAGATATTTTTGCCTGGTGCAATGTAACCTACACCCACTCCAGTAACTACGTCCATGATATTGTTGCAGTGAGGTTTTATCTGTACTGGAACTCATGATTTTTTTAAAATTCAATACTTATATTTAAACGCATGTGGGCTAGGCTCCTCAAGGAAGTAGGGCCCTGATATTGTTGCTGTAGTATTTTACCTAGACCACATATTTAAGAATACTTTTTAAAAATACTGGGGAAGGAACACTAGCCCCTTAAGTCCCACTTTTGCAAGATAGGCCCTGGTATTGTTGTAGAGTGTTTTTCTGGACCTCACGATTTTCGGTTATTTAAAAATATAGAGAATGGGCTTACCCCCGAAATCACTACTCAAAAACGTCCCTAAAATCAAATTCCAATTGACTTTTATTTCGTAGTTACTGAATTTCATACCTTGTCAAAATTACCGAAATTTCCGGTACCGAATCTTCCGTTCCTCAATTTTCCTAAATTCGCAAGGAAAGAGGCTGAAGCGGAGATGCCGTTTCAGGACTAATAACATTGCAGAGTCTACTTTGTTTTTCATCAAATGTTTCTAAATATATAGTAGAAGCACCAGATCAATGCATGGATATCAGGAATGTCGTTGATGAAAATAAAGAAGAATGTAGTTCCGACGGCAGAGCGCCCTGGTAAATACCTACACCAATGTAAATAGCCCTAGAAGTGTAGACGTTCAAGACAGATTTCATTTCGCGATTTGATAAGAAAGATTAAGTTAGGTAAAATATTCTTTCAGTAATACTATAACCGTTCAACTTGTCTAGAAAGCCATTATGCCAAACACTGTCAAATACTGCAGTCCACCTGGAGGTGAGATGACTAACGATTTCTGAGTTGCTTAGAGCATCTAGTAATTTTCCATAAAAAATAGAGGTAGAAGGGTCATAGTCCGATAGTTAAGGGTATCAGTTCATTTGAGTTTTTTAAAGACTGAAACGGCAGAAGAGGATTTCAAACAGACAGGGGAGCAAAAAGAAGCAAGGGATTTATTTTATTGGCAAACCTTGGTATTTCTAAAGTTCTGGTGCCACGTGTAATATCTAATTCTTAAATATTTAGAATTTTACAGCAATTCACGTGAAGGAAGATGAAAAACGCCATTAACAGAGTATATAGTCCAGGGTGGACTATATAATCAAGATATTTCTAATTTTCACAATTGATAAAGTCGATTGATGGACAAACAAATAAATAATAATGTTTCTCTTTTTTTGGTTTGCTAAATTGTAAGACATCACTTTGTCACATAAGTCACATATTACTATGAAATATTTCAGAGCAACACAAAATTATGGTGGACAAACGACAAGAAATTGAAAAGCAAATTGAATACTCACACGCGCTGATTGGCCGACAAAACATGGGCTCTTCCATCAACATGCATCACGCCCTCTCCTTTGTTGACCGAGACACGCGAGTGTGGGGAGATGGGAAATACCTTGTATGCCAATTAAACATATACGTACGTACAGACAAAATATTTTTTTACGTATACATACTGCATATGCATCTTATGTATTAATACGCGTTAAAAATTAACAGTCTCATTCAGACTCACCAGAAAACAATTTGCTGTTAATTCATTCGTGAATTGCCCCCTTTTTCTGTTGGTATAGTAAGCCGAATGGTGCACATCCTGCGCATGCCCAACCAGAACATTACAATACCCACACCGTATCCTGTTCAATACCCTCTGATTACAGACCTGATTACATACATACACGCATATTCTATACCTCAGGTGGAAATCAACATTTTATTTAAACCATCTTCAAAAAGCAACGCAGATATGATCTATTTATTTTAACAACAGTAAAAATAAATTGAATGTGTCCAGTTACGTTTGATACATTTGGAAAATTATGATTTTACCGTCAACGTATACGACAAAATTAGTATTTTTGCCATTCTAGGTCATAACTAATGGTTTCACTGTTAAATACGACATAAAAACCAGTTATTTTTTTCCGTTAATTTATACGACAGTATCTAGTGATTTCATGATTAACTTGTAAGACAAGCATAACTATCTTTATGAAATTGACAAAGTGAGACAATTATTTTAAGACATTTTTATGTTTATACAGTAGCCGCCATAATATAAGGAACGGAAAAAAACAAAGACATAAATACTTAAAAGTAATGCATGATTAGCAATGAAATTTTTACCGAATAAAGGTCAGGGTATA